AAAGTAATGTGACGTTATTCTGAATCCAATATGGCGGACATTCGAAGATGACGGAATCGTTATTTTATATGCACTTCAACAATATGGGTAGGTATTAAATGAAAGGGCTTGTTGAGAGTAACTCGAAAAATAATTTGACGTCATTCTAAGTCCAATATGGCGGATCATCCAAGATGGCGGTCCATTCAAGATAGCAGAATAGTGCTGCTTTACTGAAATTACCCGGCAATAAACGACCATGAAGAAAGGATGCGTTGAATGAAATTAACAGACTGAGAAACCTAGCCAGCTATATCTTGAAAGTAAAAAATATATTGAAAGAAAAAACTTCAAAAAAGCTTTCATATAAACAGTCTAAAAAGAAGAAAACTAAATTTTCCTTTTGAATATCAACAATCGACTTATAACCTCATTATACACAATTTATATGATCATAAAAGCTTCTGACGCGATTTCTTTATAAATGAACTGATTTAACCGACGTTTCGTCTTTGAGATGACATCATCAACTTTGTTTTTTTTTCTAATACGGCCCTGGATATTTTTAATTTAAAAGCTTCCGATCTCTTAAAATCAACGGTGTATCACACTTATCCGAAAAAGGTGTTTGTTTTCAATCCGACTAGAAATCTATTCATTGTCTCTTTCTATAATTAACACATGATGAGTTTTTCATGGAAAATGCCATTAAAAAGAATTTGTCGAATTAGTGAAATACACCGTTGATTTTAGAAGAGATCGAAAATAAAAATTCTAGGGCCGTATTTAAAAAACAAAGTTGACAATGCCAGCTCAAAGACAAAAAGTCGGTTTGGCAATCTATTAACACCATCTACTAGAACAGAAAAAGTAGCAATGTGAGTGTGCAATTTGTTTTATTACATCTTTACAAATAGAGTCATAAAACAATAAAAATGTGGAGATCCCGAATAATCGGTTTTTTCAAAAATCTCTGGAAGTATTAGAAATTTTTTATATTTCAATACAACAATTTGTTAGGTATATATTGGCACAATTTAACCGACCCTGTATCTCTTACGGTTTACGAGATCCTAATGATGGGGCTCGAATTCCAGCCATCCTGTACATACATAGGTAGTTGAAATGTATTGAAATATCCGTCATAGATCATAAAAAGGAACCAATTATAATATGGCATATCATTCATACAACAATAAATAAGTACACATTTTAGGTAACTTTTTTCACGAGTAGGTAAAAACTTTAAAATATTTAATTTGTAACAATTTAAACTATGTTCGCTCGAATATATTTATTTACAGATATGCCTTGACTAGGGAATATCGCATATATGACAAAAATAGTGTGTGGTAACCCTTAGGACATAGATATAAAGAAAGAAGCTATAAGATATCGTAGTCTAATAGCATTCCATTACTTGAAATTAATGAGTATCATTACAGAGAACATTTCTGAATTGTGAGTATTTTATATCGAGTATCATGTTTGTTGATAAGTCTCTGATTTTTTGCATGATTAAATATTTGAAATATTACATATCGTGCATCCGGTAGATTTATTTCCGGTATGATTTAAAATTATTTACTTATGGCAATTTGTGAATAATTTACTGTCCCGACTTTTCTTGCATTATTGCTTATTGTAGCGTAATTTTACACTTTTATAAAACTATATAATTACTTTTCCTTTCATTATCCGATTCAACAATCTTTTTATGGTATAATTCAAATTCGAGAATTAATATAAAACAAATGGTTTCAAAAACACAAAAATTACTGATGCGACGTTTTTTATAGGACAAATAAACTGGTCAACATTGATAATGTCTTGGTCCAAAATATAGCCTGAATTCAAAATCGGTTTTCACCGATGATCAGCCTAATCTCTGACAGTTCATTGTGGCAATATGAAACTTCTGTGATTCCAGATAACATTGCTACACGGTGATTATTGAATGGGTGTAAAATTGCGTCGTGGTCGTCACCTTACCGTTTGACTAGATATTTTTGTTATCACCTGTATCCTCTCGAAACGTTTTCGGAATTTTCAAATTCAGAGCTTTGATAATCGTATTATGAATTTTCATCCAAACTGATGCCTTTTTTTGACGATTAAAATTGAATGAAATTGGAAGTTGAAATTATAGTTCGAAGAGTCAACGTTGTATATGTATAGTCGTCGGATATGTGATTGTGTTCGAACACAGAAAATTCTGAAGAAGTCTATAGAAAGTGATACAAGAAATACTGAATGATGGAATGGAGAATAGTGTAGTCTTCAGTAGATGAAACATAATTTTCAATTCTGCAGTCACTTTCATATTTCCTCGTATTAACCTTGTGGAGAGTCACTGTATTTATACATTTGACAATTTTCGACAATGGCCGACACTATATATCTTTTTCGGAATATAGCGATTTTCATCACGTTTAAATAACATATTCTTCTTCATCCCGGGACAATCTGGACATATTTTTTATCGCACCTTGTATATCCATCGTCAAGAATAAATAGAAATTGCATACTTCTGGAACTACAATCGTAATTTTTTGAATTTTATAATTCATCCTAATGAAAATGCTTCATATTGATTAAAAATGTGTACCTTCACTATATGACCTTCGATCCGAGAAATTACAAAACCATTTCGAGTCCAGACACCAGACATCCTCATGACGAAGTAACACTCCATTATTTCACTAGTAACATAGAGAAAATTATGTTTCATCTACTGAGGACTACGTTATTCTCCATTCCATCATTCAGTATTTTTTGTATCACTTTGTATAGACTACTTCAGAATTTTCTGTGTTCGAACACGATCACAAAAATACAAGGTTGATTCTTCTAAGAAGGATTCCAACTTCCAATTTCATTCAATTAATCGTCGAAAAAATGCATCATTTTGAATGAATATTCATAACACGGTTATCAAAGCTCTGAATTTGAAAATTCCGAAACCGTTTCGAGAAAAAGCATCAATCAAGAGGATACAGGTGAGAAAAAAAATTTAAAAAATTATCTGTTCAAACGGTAAGGTGACGACCACGAAGCAATTTTACACCCATTCAATTATCACCCTGTAGCAATGTTATCTGGAATTACAGAAGGTTGAGAAGGTTCATATTGCCACAACAAACTGTCAAGAGATCAGGCTAATCATCGGTGGAAACCGATTTCAAATTGGTAAAGAAATTCGTGATTTATTCTGCTTTGAATTCAGGCAATATTTTTGACCACGACGTTATCAATGTTGACCAGTTTATAGAGAATAAATATTGGAAACATCAATTATAGATATATAGTATAAACTGAAACAAAATATAGCATTCAGGAATTAATGTTTATTTTCCCATTATACCGCGCTTGTCCAAATCATTTTTTGTTTTCAAATATGTGCAAATGAAATCTGAGAGATATGTATTCGATATCAAGTTGCATTTTTTGACACAACTTCCTCCAACTTTTTTTTTATAGTTTGATCATTAAATCAAAGACGGATATTTTAGGTGAAGGTAAATTAAATATTCCTATATCTAAAATTCTACCGTCATTTTCAATATATCACAGATTATGGCATTCCACGCTAAAAAAATAATTAATTATATACAAATTGTCTGGGGAAATTTTCAAATCCTAAATATCTTGTTTTTTAGTCTTTTTCTTGCTTCTATGTTAGAAAATACATGATTATTTATTGGTCGCACACAGTGCAAATAGGTACGAAATTTCTTCATTCGTCTTCAAAAATGTTCTCGTAATTTCTAATATACAGCTAAAATTATTTAACTATAGGTTTTATAGGAAACACAAAGTTTTGGATTGATCGGAAGTTTCACTCGGACATTGAAAGATAGATAAGAAGATAATATCAAACACAGCTAGTACGCGCTTGCGACGAAGTCACAATAAGAATTCCGCTAAGCCCTATGTCCTATGCTTAAATAGTTTATACAGGGTTTATTATTGAGGATAGAAACAAATTCAAATGCAAAAGTTGATAAGGTTCAAGCTGAACCACCAGAACCAAACTAATATTGCAAAGTTACCAAAAAGCATTAATTTCTTAGGATTTTATTTATATATTATTATTTCAATGTTAGATCACGAAATACAGGTTTAGTTATTGTTTTTTTTTGGGCTGGTCGAGCCGCAATTAACTATCAATTTTTTCGAAAATATATAGGGTGCTATAATGAAATTAACGTCGTAGTCATTCGTTCCTTAGTTTTGCAACATTCATTTGTTTGTTTTCGTAAAATTTGCTGGTGGTTCGATCGGTAGTATTTTTGTAGCAAATGTTTGTTTGATGAGAAAAAACAATTATTTAGCCAATATAAATTTAAAATTTCAATGCTATTGCATTTTTGAAGAAGCTTGCAGATTAATTTAAGATCTGGGAAAACTGAGCAACGTCCGATCAACCAAAAAAATTACTTTAATAAATCACATGAACGTCTTATCACTTTGCTAAACTAGATTTGGTGCAAGTTTGACAGATTACCTAACCCTGGTAGCAAAACAATCTACATTTCTTGGTATGTTAGTCGTTCCAGCGTGTTTTTCAAATGTTTCTATACTCTGTTCAAGTGAAATTTTGTAGCATATTAAACATGAGAATATCTTCAATCTCAGTTGATATCCATCTAAAAAATTATTTAGAGAAAATGTCAAAGTAATAACGATCTATATTTTTACAATGCAGAAAAAAATAACATATTTGGCTTAAAGATACTACACGAATTTTTCTTTGAATATGTTAATCAAACAGATAATGAATATCTGCAACATACTAATAAGAATTCAACGATGAAATTTTTATTAATTGTGTTGAAAGTGAACAGAGTGAATACCGGCCATTTTTGAAGCTCGGGACATTTTTTGTCTAGAAATCTTTCAATGTGTGACGGTTAGATCAATTGGAACCCTTCATCAACATCTACAGTGTTTTTAAAAAATATGAAAAATGGACTACTCGAACGGCGTTACGTGACTCTCGCTACATGTCTTTTTTATCAAGTTTATCGCTGAAAATAGGCTCATTTGTTTGAATTTCAAAAAGTTTACTGAAAAAAGTTGTATCTATTCCTATTTTACACACATGTGTATCTTTGAACGTTCTATTGCAAATTTTAGTCCTTGGTATTTTTATATCCATATATAATTGGATGATGCTTTTATTGATGGCTTTGGCATCATTTTACTACTGAAAAAACCCATTTGAATGAATTTTGCTCCTGAACGCTAAACGATACATTAACTTTGCATCAAAAAATCGAAATTTGAAGGGGGGATTATTATTCTCTGAAGAAAATTTTTTGTCAATAATTAGTGATTGAAAGGTAGTAGCATGAAAAAGCTACTGGAATAAAATAATTTTTTTTTTGATACTTCATCTCATATAAATTGAAAAAATAATTTATTCATGAACCTATATAAAAATCGAATAAATACATAAATTCTGAAATTATTCAATTCTCAAACACAATCTGTGAATTTTTTTCCGAATACCGCACGAGGTTAAATTATTTTCCTCGTCTTCGACTCGGAATAGTTTTCAAAATATCCTTGAGCTCGAAAAATGTTTCGGAAATAATTTAACCCCTAGTGGTATTACAAGAGGCAAAAAATATATGTAACATTTGACATAAAGCGAAAGTGACGCGACCCCGTACGAGTAGACAATTTTTTATATTCTTTGTGGCAAATCCTATTATTAAACACGAACACTCTGAAACAGTGCAATCATTCACCTCAAACAAACCATAAAAGTAACATTGTTGACCTCAACAGTCGGTCATCCATCAAACCTGCTCCAAACCCTCCCTCACAACCCCCCTCAAAAGGGCAGACTCGCCACGAACATCCGCTCGATCAAGGGTGGCGCCGGCACCAGGTCCTCCAGCTTCAGGTAGAAGATCCGCTGCAGCCCTTGCACGCTCAGCGACCGCAGCTCGGGCAGCTTGCCCAGCAGCCGGCTGAAGTAGTGCGACTTGCGCTGCGCCTCCGCGTTGTAGGTCACGTGGTCGCGCAGCGAGGAGATGATTTTCATTTGCAGCTGCTCCACTCGGTGGGGGTCTCTCAGACCATGACGGTCTACGGAGAAAATATACAAAACTAGGAAAAGCCAAATACTCAAAGTGGAATGCAATGGTCACAAAGAGAGGAACTCAAACTCATTTTACCACGCAATAGTTCATAAAATGAACGAAAATGGTAGATCCAATCAGCCAAAGTACGTCTTAAAGGCGTCTTTAAGACGTACATGTCGGGACATAAGTACGTCTTAAAGACGTACATATTACGCCCAAGAGACGTCTTTAAGACGTCTTTAAAACGTACATTTTCTACTAATATGTACGTCTTTGAGACGTCTTTTTTAGGTGTTTTTGGTCCATGACCTCAAATTGATCTTTCAAATTACGGAAAAATTACATAGTTTCAGTTGATTTTCATACTGAAGTTAGCAACAAGTGCAGACAAGCAAAAAAAAAAGAGAAATAAACGACTTCATCAAACGGTAGACACAAGCGGTCACCCATTCAAGTACTAACCGCGCTCTTTGTTGCTTGACTTCGATGATTATACCATATTCACTTCTTCTGTTACTCTGTTTGTTCTATATATCACATAACAAGCTTTTACTTAGTTTAACATGTCCTTGTGTCTGTTTGTAATCAAAACGTACAAGTTAAATTTAACCCACTTTAAATCGTCCGATTGATTTGAAATTTGGCAAGTAAATATTATTCCGGTGACAATTCGTTGTGATATTATTATTGAATGGAAAAAACAGAATGGCGGATTCAATATGGCGGACGATGTGGCATATGGTTTTCTGATTATGGTCTGATCTGATTTCGGGATCAGAGATTATATGTCGAAAATGAAAAATCCAAGAAGTCGGCTTCAAAATGGCGGACGAGTTTTGTGATTATAGTCCGATTTTATTCAAAATTGCTTACTATGGGACTTTTGGGGTCGGAGAATATGATTTTTTTGTAAAAATTCGAGAATCTAACACGAAGGCTCCAAAATTACGGACGAAAAAATTCAAAAACATCACTTTTGTTGAAAATAAGAAAAACTGAACAATTGAAAATAAAAAACGTGAAGAGATGAGATTTTGTTTTTCTTCAGAAAATAACTTACATTACCTATTGTTCTATAAGTCGAATTGACGTATTGGAATGTACGTCTTTAAGACGTCTTTTATACGACATGGGAGGAACGACGTGGATACGACCTAAAATGTACGTCTTAAAGACGTAAATTTGTGTACGTCTTTAAGATGTACATGGATTTACATCTTAAAGACGTACTTTATACGTCCCTGGACGTAAAGACGTAAGTAAGTCGTAAAATGTACGTCTTTAAGATGTCTAGTGCTGATTGGGAATAACGAGGAAGAACAACTACTTTCCTGGCTATATGCTACGCAGAGCATTGGATTACATCCTTCTGAAATCTCTGCTATAATTCGTATAGACGTAAAAAATCGCAAGTGTTTCCTTCCTATTGCATAGATTTCGGGAGGCATATAGCATGGAAAGTAGTTGTTTTTCTCTCGTTATCTACCATTTTCGTTCATTTTATGAACTATTGTGGTAATGACTGAGTTTCTCTCTTTGTGAAATATATAAAATTTAAATCGTCTGGCAATGATCCCCCAGATTAAACCCACCATTCGCGATAACATTATTTTTTTGGTGTCTGGCGTTGAGGATTGTTGTCTATATCTATTTTTATTTAGTCTGAGCACTCACACACAAATGTACATTCGTCTGATATCATCCCCACAATTCGCGATTCCATTAATTTTTTCGTGTTTTGGCATTTTGGATTGTTGGCGTATACTTTTTAATGATTTATTAATGAACCGCGGTGTCTATCTACTGTTATTCAGTCTGACATCCCGCTCACGAAGACAGTCCGGGGTGTAAATTATATAAATATTGAGCATTAGCTTCACATACTTTCTGTTAGACTCCTCTGAAAAGTCGTACTATACTCACACTCAGTTTAGGTATTCACCCTTCTCGAAAAATAATCGAATCATTGTAATTTCTCACAAGATAGTCGAAGTAAACTTGACATTTCAATGATAATTATGTTGCCTGGAAATTACACGAATTACATTGGCAGTTTTTTGGCGGTCCTTTGAGTTTTGAGCTCGGACAGCTTGCCCAGCAGCCGACTGAAGTAGTGCGACTTGCCTCGGCTTATTAGATCACGTGGTCGCGAAGGGACGAGATTATTTTCATTTGCAGCTACTCCACACGGTGAGGGTCTCAGACCGTCATGGTATAGAAAAAAATATCTAATTGAATCAAAATGAAACACTATACTTGATAACCTATAACTATGTTTGGCCTTCGACCATCATCAGACGTAAGAATACAAATAATGTAAAAGTCTGGGACTGCTTTGAAACCCTGAATGATCTGGGCAGTCAGAACAGGCTTACTCTAGCATGGGTACCAGCACATACAGGGTACGAGGGCCATGAAGAAGCTCATCTCTGCGGGGCTAGCCAAATAACTAAACGATTTTGAGGGCAAACACGACAATAGATTTGAGAAGTTCTCGGTGTGGAGGCAGATAGTCCGAAGGCTCCATTCTAAATCTGAATCTTAGGATATGGAAAGTGTCCAAAAAGCACATGGTTAAATAAGGAAAGCACGTAGGCGAATGTTTGTTTATATAAAGTTTAAAAATTTGGGCAAGGTTGCAACCCTGTAACTAGCGTCAGTGTATTGAGCGGGAAGTCACGGCACAGGTTATTCCACGAAGTTTTTTTGATTATCCAGGCGAATATATCAAGTATTGTCTTGAATAATTCATTTCTAACAATGTAATATAAATTTCAGTACTTGAAGTGATTATGAAGTTTTAAATCTAGAGAAAGTCCGCCAAAAATCAACGTTCAATACAGTTCCGGCGAATTTGTCGCATCAATGTGATGCACCTGTTGCCACTTCAGATCAAGTGACAGTAGCACATCTGTCTAAACTTCAAACACCATTTACCTGTTATGAGAGTGAGGGCACAAAGACAAGCGAACGCCGATATGTCTATCTCCATAGAATGCAACCCAGCGCAGAATTCCATGATGGCGTTCATCCAGTCCCCGAAAGACCTTTGACACTGCTGCATATCGAGCACCACCCCGTTGCAGAACGTCAACTTAGTGTCGTTCGGATGCGTCCTATAGCTCAACCTCAACACGAAAAGCTCCAAGGATGCGGACTGAAAGAGGAGGTCTCTGTCTTCGGGACACAAATCCTGGTAACCTGTTGCATCAGAAAAAAATATGGTCTGTCTGAAAAACCGAAGCAATCTGATAACTAATTTCAATAATGGAAAAATAGACATGAGTATAGGAAATATAACGGGAATTGAATTTGTAATTTGTTATAGAACCTCCGAACGAATATCAGAGGTTAAAACACTATATGTTAAAATGAATATTCTTCCTGCCTGTTCTGCGATGCGATTCCTGTTTCAATGTCTGTACCTGTTGATATGTAATGATATTTTGATCAAGTTTTCAATATGCCACGAAAGTGTAACAAAAACGTCACGGAACATGGAAATGTCACGTAAATGCCACGGAAGTGTCACGGAAACGTCACGGAACATGGAAATGCCACGGAAACGTTAAGGAAATGGCACGGAAATGCCACAGAAGTGTCACGGAAACGTCACGGAACATGGAAATGTCATGAAAATGCTGGTCTCTGATTGGCTTGAGCGAGAAACCCCATAGCTCCTCTACTCTCTTTCTTTATTTTGTTATTTTTCCCAAATGATGCACATAATTATTAAAATCAACGTAAGCTACGAATTACTTTTTTTTCTCCTAAATACACTGGAGTATGCCCTCCTTGCGCCAGCTTGAAAAACAACATTCGACCGCCGTGGCATCGAGTTTATCAAATGTTTCAAGCAGCCTTGAGGAATTGCTCTCTCTCTTCTTGAAGGGCGAATTATTATAGCTCTTGAAGAGTCTCTGAAAAATCCGGACGAAGATGAATGCAGCTCTGGAGTTCATTCCAAAGATGCTCTATTGGTTCTGAATTATGCTTGATAAAAATTAAAAATTTCATACTTACTAGGAACACTTGTATATTCTTTAAAAAGTGCGATATATCGACGTGAATCAAAAGTAATTGTCTTAAAAAGAGGTCACACTTCAATCTAAAACATAATGAAGTTAAGTTACTTTCGTCACAGGGTGTTGAGCATTAATTGGCGGAAGAGTCACTTTTGTTTTTTCCTGCATGATGATCAAGCCATCAGCTTTATGACTCTACAATTTGGTCAGGTCAGGTTATAGGTTAGAATCGGACAAGAAATAAAAAATTGCAGGACGATCAACGTCGCAACTTTTTTTTTCTGGCCCTCTTTTTTGCCGGTGAGTGTATTCATGTAGTTCGATTTGTACCTGGGATTTTGTCCGCAAAGTGCCTAATAACATCGACAGAAGTACTGAGTAAAGTGTAGAACTGCTGGATCTTCTCGGCCTCAGCGATGTTGGGTTCTACGGGGGACGGTTCCAGGTACTGGGAGTAGTCCAGGTTGGAGAAATCTGGAGTGGTATCGACGTGGGCCCGCACCAAGGCCGTTATCAGAGACACAGGCGGACTGGGGGGAGATTCCTGCGGTGATTTTGGTTTCGAAGGCAGCCTACCTCTTCTACCTTTCAACGAGTCTGTCCTCACCACCTGAAAAAAGGATCAAGATGAATGGATGATGGATTCACAACCTTGGACTAGAGTGCCATCACATTTCACGCCCTTCGAAGAGTGAGGACACACTTATAATTACTGACATTCCCGAATAGGTCGCGTGCACAATGACCGACCCTGGAGGTAGAATATTGAAACACAACCTCACTCTTCTGTAAAACATCGAAATACAACCCCACTCTTCTGTGAAACATTGAAACACAACCTCACTCTTCTGTAAAACATTGAGACACAACATCACTTTCTTTATTTGTTTACAGAGGAATCAAAGGATTGTAATAGTTTTTCACAATATTTTGGCATACTCATCATGTTTTTTGCGCTATTAATTAATTCAAGCATGCCTTCTCATAGTGCTGTTGTAGGTACAATGCACAAAAAATGCAGCAAGAGACGGAGGAACATGATTTTTCAGGCGAACAGTAATCTCACTTAGTTTTTATTATAAAATTTTGTCATTTCTTATTAAAATTCCTTCTGCCACTTCTGCAAGTAGCTAATGCTGCGAATAAATTGATAATGTATACATCACACACGATCATATTTTGCCAGCATATCAGACCAGTTCTCTCGTTCGATTGCATGAATCTGAGATGCTTCATATGAATCCACTCTTCTTGCATTATTTCAGAAATTCCACGAGTATTTCTATTAGCTCCTATCGCAGAAGGAATTCCGATGAGAAATCAGAGAAATTACCAAATTCAAAAATGAAAACTATATGTGAGTGACTATAGTAGATACTTACTTATCATAATGTACCAACAGGTTTCTTTCGTCTCTCGCTGCATTTTTTGTGCATTGTACGATTCGTATGCCAAAATGATTGTGAAAAACTATTTCAATATTCAAATAAAAAAAGTGAGGTTGTGTTTCAATGTTTCACCTCCAGGGTTGGTCATTTGACAGTTCTTGCATGCAACCCATTGTCATCATTCCCAGATTCAAAACGTCAGTTCTGAAAATTGAATAGGGGTCCCCGCGAAAATGGTTACCATTTGTTCTAGTTACCCAAAGACGGGAAGACATACATAATCAGTTTAGGTTAACTCGAGATAGTTAAAATTGCAAGGGATACAATTTCTTTCCAATAATGATGATTTCAAGCTAACGGCACCGACATTACTATTACGTTATGATTTGATATAAAGTGTTTGCCGATAAGATCATGCTCATCTTGAACAATAAACATATATATTCGAATCTCTCTCTATATCTCTCTCACATACCTCTTTGACAGTTCGACCATACTGACAGCAAGGCGCCGAAGTGAACTAATATCTCGAGACAGTGATGTAACTTTCCACCGAGGTTTGTATGCTATTTTATTTACAACTATAATCTTCTAGACAAAAATTCGGAAAAAAGCAAATTTCTCATTATTTTTTGTCAAACGTCAACAATAAAATTACAAAGACAACCATAGAATGATGACAACTACAACAAATAACTTATTTTCAAAATATCCCACCCACGGGTGGAAAATTTCCCACCCGTGGGTGGGAAGTGAAAGTAGGTAATATGTCAGTTTCAGACTTTTTAAACGTCAGTTATAATGACATTACATATATAGTTGTAAATAAACATATATTCTCTCTCTTTCTCACCTCTTTAACCATTCCGACGGCTAGGCACTTCTGGAACCGGCAGAACTGGCACCTGTTGCGTCGGCGCTTGTCCACCGGACAAGCCTTGTCGGCCAGACACACGTACTTGGAGCCCTTCTGTACAGTGCGCTTGAAAAAGCCCTTGCAGCCCTCGCAGGTTCGCACGCCGTAGTGCTGGCAGGCCGCCGTGTCTCCGCAGACGGCGCACAGCTGGGAGGGGGAGGAGGGGGTGGATGTCTTGGAGGAGGAGGGGGGGAGGGTGAGGGGGTCGGCGGGGCCGCCGGGGCTGCTGCTGGCTGAGGAGCACACCGAGGGGATCGGACCTGGAAGATCGATGAAAAGATTCAGTTTTCTATTAATTTGCACTGAGGAAAATTGTGCTATTAGAGTTTTTGCTGAGATATTTCTTGCTACCATTACAAGAAATCATATTACCGTTATACATTTTCGAATAGAAGCAGCACCTAGAAATCCTATGATAGCAATAACGACTTTGCTGGAAGTAGATTTCCTCACACAGGAAAGTATACTGCTGTCGCTATCAGGCAGCTTCTCTGATGGGTCAGCATCATTCTTTGTCTACCAAAAAGAAGGAAATGTTGAATGTAAAATATTTGAATTTCAGTCGAAATACCTTGAAAAAAAAACTGACCTTTAGCATTCCATTAATCCTGGTAATAACTGAAGCACTCAGATCTACGAAAGCACTAAAAGGGACACAGAAGATTTGTTGCGAGATGTTTCCATTTTATTTTCGAATTCAGATTCAGATTTTGAATAATGAATTGAATTCAAGAGGGGAAGTATTCGTAACTGTCGTTTCGTCGAGATTGTCGTCCGAAGTAGGTTCGTCAAATATTATTTTCGTGGCAGACTGACAGTTGTATTATTGGTAGTGAGTGCAGTTCTATGCGATGAACCTCGCAGCCATAAGCATATAACTCATGCACTAGTAGTAGTTCAGCTGGTCAATTATAAAAAAAATCATGCTGTCCCAGAGTGGCTGCCTGATAGCGACAGCAGTATACCTGTGGCAGGAAATTCACTTTCAGCAAAGTCTTTATTATTGCTATCATATAGGATTTCGAAGTGCTGCTTCTATTCGAAAAATGTATAACGGTTATATGATTTCTTGAAATAGTGGCAAGAAATATCTCAGCAAAAACTCTAATAGCACAATTTTCCTCAGTGCGTTGAACCCATGAGAAAATGTCATCGGCCACATAGTCTCTGACGATTCTACAATCTTCGTCTCTGAACATCGCTTCCATCTCGTATACTTACTCACCTATCCTCAATTTGGGACTCTCGCTGCTACTGGTAGAATCCGACCTTTGCAAAGGCAGCGACGCTCGTCTCTGCTTGGCAATCGGCGCAGTCGCAACGCGCAACTCAGTCGTCGCAGAAGAAGACCGATAACCGGGCAGTGAGTAGGTCTCCTGTGATATCGGGCCCTCCAATCCCTCTTGCGCTGGCAAGTAGGTTGTCTTCTGTGGAATTGGGCATTCTTGCGCTGGGGAGTAGGTGGTCTTCTGTGGAATCGGGCCCTCTTGTGCTGGGGAGTAGGTTGTTTCCAGGGGCGCTGGTGGCTCCTGGGAGGTAGGAGGTGGGTAGTAGGGGCTCGGGGCTGTTGAGAACTGTGCTTGGTGGTACTCGTAGTGGTGGGCGGTTGGTGGGTGTTGGTAGGACACGTCAAAGCACTCCTCGTCCATCTTAAAGGGTGCCTGGAACGGTCAAGAATCAGACTTGGGAGGAAGTTGGAGAGGGATTAACAAAAAGTCGCTTTTTTCCACATTCTATAGCTCTGGTTCGAACTCGACAGCGATTAACTCAGGACTCAGGTATACTGTTGTAAACTTTCTCATTAGTAAATATCTCTTATTTTGACTCCCATATACTCTCAACAATATTCAACATTCAGTGTGTTGTTAGGTAGGTGACTATTTATTATTATTTCACTTTTAGCAGAACTGCACACTGAGTGTTGAAGCTTTGTGTAGAAATGTAATTAGATTCTGTATCAACAGCACACTCAAGAAAAAAAATCGATTCCAGCAACAACTAATAGATCTGTGTTTTCCAGGCACCTGAACTGTTTCTTTGTAATATTCTATCCTTCTCTCTCACCTGTAACGAACAAGGATGGAGAGGTAGGTATAGGTACAACGAGTGACAAAGAGAAGTGCTAGTCGAATGGAAAACACTAAAATAACGAATCTACTGTATATCTATCTATTAGGAGCTAGTGATATATTATTGCTATTGCAGGTAGCAAAACAATATTATCGTTTTCAGTCACACATCTGCCAACGTCGAGTCAATTCTGAATTACCTATATAGTACAATAAAAATTAATTAGATTCTAAATACTGTCTGTAGGTTAATCGAGGAGGTGGTATATTTGATATTCCAGATATTTTAGAATTTTCTCTGAAATGAAAATATGAGTAAGGGTAGATTCTGTTTCCATATACATTCGGAACAGCTAATTTCCAATATTCGCATATATATCCTTGAAAAACGCTGAACACTTGGTGTGTACCGCAAATTATGATTCAATGGAAAACGCTGAAAAAATATATGTTCACTGTGTAGCGCAAATTATGAGTCAATGAGAAACGCTAATAGAACATGTCTTGATGTGTAGCACAAATTATGAGTCAATCAAAAACGATAAAATAACGTGTCTTACTGGTATGAGTCAATGGCAGACGCTAAAAAAACGTGTTTTCCTGTCTAGCGCAATTTATGAGTCAATAAAAAACGCTCAAAGAACGTAACTTACTGATGGTAAGAGTCATTCAAAAACGATAAAATAACATGTCTTACTGGTATGAGTCAATGGAACACACTAAAAAACCGTCGTGTTTTCCTGTCTAGCGCAATTTATGAGTCAATGAAAACCGCTTAAAGAACGTATCTGACTGATGGTAAGAGTCAATCAGGAACGATAAAATCACATTTCTTACTGTCAATGGAACACGCTAAAAAACGTGTTTTCCTGCCTAGCGCAAATTACGAGTCAATGGAAAACGGTTAAAGAACGTATCTACTGGTAAGAGTCAATGAAAAACGATATATTAACTTGTCTTACGGGTATGAATCAATGGAAAACGCTAAAACAACGTGTTTTCCTATCTAGCGCAAATTATGAGTCAATGGAATACGCTTAAAGAACGTATCTTACTGGTAAGAGTCAATCAAGAACGATAAAATAACGTGTCCCTATACTGGTATGAGTCAATGAAAAACGCTTAAAAACGCGTTTTTCTGTCTAGCGCAAATTATCAGTCAATGGAAAACGTTTAAAGAACGTATCTTCTTGGTAAGAGTCGATCAAAAACGATAAAATAACGTGTCTTACTGGTTTGAGTCAATGGAAAACGCTAATAAAACGTGTTTTCCTGTCTAGCACAAATTATGAGTCAATGGAAAACGCTTAAAGAACGTATCTTACTGGTAAGAGTCAATCAAAAATGATAAAATAACGTGTCTTAATGATTATGAGTCAATGGAAAACGCTAAGAAAACGTGTTTTCTGTCTAGCGCAAATTATGGTTCAATGGAAAACGCTTATAGAACGTATCTTTTACTGTTAAGAGTCAATTAAAAACGATAAAATAACGTGTCTTACTGGAATGAGTCAATGGAAAACGCTGAAAAACGTGTTTTCCTGTCTAGCGCAAATTATATGAGTCAGTGGAAAACGCTGAAAGAACGTGTCTTACTGTGTAGCGCACCGAGTAGGTCTCCTGGAAGCTTGGCAGAGGCAACGGCGAGTGCAGGACTTCTGCAAAAGGGCTGTCGAGGTCTTCGGAGGAAAGGGCCGCGCTGGGCTCTTCTGCGAAGGGCGCATTCAGCAATTCGGCGAAGCTGCTGGGACCAAACGGCGGCTGAAATTAACAGAATGGAGGAGTGTGATAAGTGCTTGGTCAGAATAAATAGATCGGGTATTTTCACGGACTAATAATACGCTTGATTGAGGTTAGATTATTTTTTTTGGGAACGAGAAAGAAACAGACCAGTAAATCGAAAATCTAGGTAATCACCCATAATAGTTACGAGGTATATAGTTTCAACCGATCGGACAAAATAAAATGTTTAGTCATATCGGAAATACATCGAGCATTGTCGTAGGCTATTAATAAATACGCCTGATCGAAATTAGATGATTCTTTTGAAAACGAGAAAAAAGAAGAAAGCGTTATTCCACCGTACGAAAGCATAATTTCAACCGATATTAACCATATTTAAATCATATTCGCCTGGATAAGACCAGAAATATGTTTATAGCCATAGCAGGAATAGATCGGGCATTGTCGCAGGCTATAATAATACGCATATTGGATTTGGATAATTTTTTTCTGAAACATGAAGAGATATATAGAAAGCGATAGCTAATCACCTAAAATACACTCACCGACAAAAAAACCTGTCATAAAAAAATTCACCCAAAATAATCGCCTTGCATAACTTTTTTATTCTTGTCCAATTTGGATGTAATGATTTGGAATATTATCATGAATTTCAGTTTCCAAGAAAAACTGATGGCTTTTGATCCGTCATATTTTCGTGGAAACTTAAATTCATGCCAACATTTTGAAACGTATTTAACGGAATTTTCCTCTGGTCGTTATTTTGCCGGTCAATATAGTTGAAATTTTGTTACAAAAAGATATTTTCAACCGTTTCACCATCATTTTAATCATATATTCGCCTGATAGGACCATGCAGAAATATTTTCAGCCATAGCAGATATATAGTCATATATTTATGATAATATATAGGTATAAAGTATTCTTCGGCTAGACACTGGAGAGATAGAAATAGGTACGTCGGTATTAGAGAAAGCCAATGGACCTTGTAGATCCTTTGTTTGCTCGAACATTATTTTCATCTCGCAATTTGTATCCATTCCGGATCTCAATAAAAAACTATGCATCAGAGCGCTGGCTATAATATTCCTTACAGGAAATACGCATTATTCGAATGCTAGTATATTCAATAGTTAGAATGACTGTTGACTGTGTCCACATATAGCATTCAGTGAAATAGTTTAATTTGACTAAGAGAATGTCTAAGTGAGGTAGATATTTTAAATAATGAAATAGTTAAAAAGTATTTCCAATAAATTCAACAAGTCCATGTGATGCGATCAAGAATGAGGTACCTATCAGTATTTCAAACAGTTTATTCGAGAATTTCATTGAAAAATAAATGTTGGACGATTTTGAATATAAATCAGACTGTGAAATAATCATGTGTGCTCTATCTCTCAGAATTCATCCTCGGATTTGTAATCTGTAGTTGCGTTTTATTTGTCTCATTCTGGTAGCGGTGGTGAGAACAGAATGACGTTTACAAATAAAACGCGAATATTCATGACCTTGCATAGGAGAATTCACATAACAGGTTATATATATATATATATATTGAAGCTCCAAATGATATCAAAATCATGATACTATAGTTCTTATGAATCTAGAAAATCAATCAACGAATATTTGGAGCAGTGATTGTGGTGATTGGAGAATTTTCTCTGAGATCGAGAGAATTAATTTTATCTGGGAATGAACATATGAAACCTGTCTCACTTGAAAAAATCATGAACTTGTGGACTTCACAATGAAAATGCCTTCTAAATGTCTTCTACTTTCAAAAAGTTTAATTTTTCGTCAATCTCTTAGTGGACTCCTTCCACTATAGTCAATCTAATATAATTTTTTGATAACTGTCAACAGTCATTCCACGTCATTCCTTGTAGTGAGACGGATTGAAAGGTAGCAACCAGAATCGGAAAAGTTGATGCAAATAAAACGACACATTAAAGTGATTCCGGTGACGGAATCGGATAAATAAAACGCAACTTATGGTATACTCTTCACGGAACTTCTTTGTATTGTGTCACGGGATAACAACTACTTACTGAATTATAGTACCTATATACATACTGGAAAGACTGCCCACACTTGACAACATAGGAAAGGAAATCATCGTGGCTTGCCTTCTTCCTCATTATCACTGAATTTGATGGAAGTTTTGTGTGATAGAGGTTAACAATATGGGTTCAGTTTTTTCCAAAGCCGTTATAGGAAGCAAACTAGGAATATTATCATGACGAAGGCCAATTTGATTATGACAATGTTCTCTAATTTCTAAGAGCTGGTGAGTTAATGGTTATACTAAAATACTCAACTGAACAGGTGTCAGTGTCGTGAGTACCTACACGCTGATAAGTTATGAAGCCATCTATACAATTTACATCCTGATGGGATTAGATGTCGCTTGCTGCGGTTCTGTCATCATGGAGAGAAGCTAGTAATATATTTTGCACTAGAGGCTTATTTGTTATACATCAATAAGCACTATATAGGCTTATTTACTGTTCATCGTTTAACAAATTGTTCTGGATTGAGAGGGTAAGTATAGGTACTTTCTGGTGATTGTGTTGAAGAACAGGACCAGAAATTGTATTCATGATTGATGATATTGGTAGAAAAATGAATTAGGGATAATGATAGGGTAAACAAAAAGCGATGAACACCGATACGTAATCTAAAATTCCTATCGGTAGATGGTTATTAGCACCTTTTGGACATACGACTACTGCGTATATCAATTAACTAACCTCCTAAAACGATCATTGAGATTAGGTACACAGTGCACCAGCATTGAGCATTTCCCGTTGCTATTTTCAATCCATCCTGTCCTTCAAATTTCCATCATGAAATCAATGAACAATAGATGATTCAGCAATAACACACAGTGTATTATTCGCTAGCCGACGGCACCGGTAATGAGATACGACGGTGTGTACCGTTACCCTAGTTTTGTCAGAACGAAGTTGTAAACTAGAAACTAGCTGCAAATTCGTCTGGAAAAAATAAAAATTGCGCTGTACATTGTGCGCACACAAGGCGGAGTTACGACGGTATTTCTATTGGTAACTAGCGTCACACTCACCGCGCCACGTGCTCCATGACTATTAACGGACCGAAGGAAACGCTACACTAGCACACTGTGACCGAATGGTGAAGCTCAAGAGTGCACATTATGCCGCTGCTGAATGACGTAGGGAGGAGTGAAGTGATTTTGGGGCGTAGAAATTGGGGTATGAAGGTACCAATGACATTTTGGGGCGTCAACGGAGTCCCAAAATGCTGATGTTTATCAAATTCACCGCGTAGTTGAAAATTCCATGAATTCCTCATTGCAATATCATTTTCTTGAATCTGGATTGAGAATTCTCGGACCATCTACCACCTCACAGCTGTTATTGAAGAGTATGAATCTTCACGAAAAAAATAAACCACCCCTTATTCAAACAGCCAAAAATATCAGGATGGTGTTAGTTCGTCAATATATAGTCATCTACAAAGTATCGGTATTTGTGACTATACGTATCGCCATATATATGACACCATCAATCATACCTATCAAAAGATTGGAAAGACTCTTTAACTTCTAGTAATCGATGAATATAGGTATATTTAACTTTCACATCTTTGCTAATTAATTAGTTTTATTGACAAGGAGGTATAACCCCGTTGGGTTTAACCTGTTGCAGATCATTGACATTTGACTTTTGGAATCGAGGAACGACCTAAAACAACTTCAACATTTATGTAATCCTTCGCTGAATTCTTGAATTCATCTATGAATTTATATACTTAGGTACTGAATATAAATAACCTTCATCGTTACCTATTCCACCAGATTTGACCAATCAACTGATTCGTCACCAATGATGAAAACATAACCTCATATTACACGTAAACGTAAACAAACAAGCGAATTCGACAACCTGTCAAACAAGACCAATAATACGGCGGTTACCTGAACCTAATTAATGCAATGACATGAAAACGGTAGACAGAATGCCAGCCTATACTGTCCTATTCTATAGAAGATTCATCAACTTTCTCTTCAAAGAAGATATGAAAATTCGTAACATAATCAAAATGCAAGGCTCTCTATTCGAATCGATTGAGAATATGGCTAAAATGTATGCAACATATTAAATTATATGGCGTCCGATCATTCCCAATTGAGTTTTATCTGGAACCATGAGAGATAGGCAAAAACAGATGTTGTCCCGAGCTCGATTTTTGTTGGAAAAATAATGATGCAAATCGCGATCATGTCACTTTTTCGACGAGCTACAGAGCTTTTTTGGAATTTTTGAATATATATCAGTGACCTCTACTCTCTACATCTCAATATCACTGTAATTAGATCGAATAACGAGTAAAAGTTACACTAACACTTCCTCTAAGCACTCTTTTGCTGAAGTTATTTCTGATAAAAACGATTTATTTTTGTGAAATAATCCTCTTTCTTGTTACAACTGCGATAGATTTATGATGATTTTCCCAAAACTATATGCATTTTATTGAGAATAATCGTTTTCATTGACACCTTCCTTTTTATTGAAATTTTTTTGTTCACCAGGATTAGGACCTCTTCATACAAAAGGAAATCCTGTTCTCAGTGATCAGTGCATGAGTGCATCTTAGTTGATGTTTTGTGGTTCTGTGTTCTGTGACCTCAGTCACCTGTTGTTCTGATTTTTCATGAATCTTTTGTTTTATGGTTACACCCTTTTTCGAATAGCCCCGGTCGTGAACGGTTGGATAAAATTAGTAAGTGAACTATTATTGTTATAATTAATGAATTAGTAGTGTTTTTTCGAATCCGATTGTTAACAATTCAACATCACATTACAGCCGACCGAATGTAATGTACAAGGTTAGTCCTATTTCTCTAATACCCTTGTCGAGATCTTTTGTAATGTTGTGATTTGGTTTTATGCATCTATACAAAACCCGTATGAGTATAACGACAATGACTAATGTTTTCGGCATCCTGAGTGACCCTAATCCCTGAAAATATTTATTCCAATACGAGTAGAGGTATTACCTACCTAAAACAACTATTAATTTATGGAATACTGCCAGCTGAATAATCGGGGTCAATGACCTCTGGGGGTGGGTAGGTATAATAGTTATTTTCCCTGTCACTGAGATGGAAGGTTGGCCCAATCATATTAACTCTTTCACGGCACGTTTTTGTAATGTATCAGATACAATGAGATTTCAATAAATTTCAGATTACTAGGTATTACCTACCTACTATGAAATTGTACTTGAGACGGTGCCTCTACCTCAACTTTCGGTTGAAACAACTGAAATTCTTGGTTTGTTTTTTCAGATAGGTAGGTACTTCAGGGTCTTTCATTTTTCTGGAATGGACTCCAACTTTGAATTTTTCAATGAAGAGAAGTCCATGTCCATCTGAGTTCATTAAAAGTGATGATGCTATTTGACCAAAATCATCACCATTTGCATTGTGGAGGTGATTTTCATTATGTTTGCTTCTTCATTTGAAATCTCTAATAAAAACAACAAAGCTATTTGACCAAAATCATCTTCACCATTTGCATTGTGGAGGTGATTTTCATTATGTTTGTTTCTTCATTTGAAATTTCTAATGAAAACAACAAAGCTATTTGACCAAAATCATCTTCACCATTTGCATTGTGGAGGTGATTTTCATTATGTTTGTTTCTTCATTTGAAATTTCTAATGAAAACAACCTTGCAAACACCATCATATAAGTAAATCTGAACGAGTTGCATATTTGAATAAACAGTTGAGTTGATGATGTGAGAGTAGTGAATTATACTGCTCATGAATGTGGATCTTCACTTGTCATGTCAGTTTATAGATAGTTGAAGATAGTATGCTTAAAATTACAATATTTGAAAAGTTCATTTTGAAACCTACCATTTTTCACTACCTAAACAAAGTGGAAGTTTCATGAAGTACTTAGCATTTTTCAACTTTGTGATCAATAATATTGATGGAATACTATCATATTTTTTTATGAACATATTATGCTCTTGACTTGAACAATTTGTTGATGATATATACAGGGTGATCCACGGTAGATGGCCTATTAGAAGTATATGGAGAACAAAAAGACAGAACATTCTGAAAATTGGGATGCTATGATAATTGAACATTCTCTATCTGTCTAAAATATTTTCATCGATACAGTGTTGCCACTTCTATCAGGAACAACTAGCAACTTCGTTATTTTTAATTGAGCACCCTGTATTTTATTGCATTTTCAGATTCTTCCTGAAGAGCAGGAATGATCACAGAGATATAGGGTGTTCAAAATCGAGATTTTTCAATTTTAGGATTTTTTTGTCTCGAAACTATTAATTATCGATCAAAACGGCTTACATGTCCCTATCTTAACTTTCGATTCGTTATCTACTGACATTTAATTGGAACAGATACAGGGTGATCAGAATTCTGAATCTTGAAACACCCTGTATTTTTTTCCAATTGAATTCCAGTAGATAGTGTATCAAAAATTAGCATAGGGACATGTAAGCCGTTTTGATCGATAATAAATAGTTTCGACACAAAACAATCCTAAAATTGAAAAATCTCGATTTTGAACACCCTATATCTCTGTAATCATTCCTGCTAGACCCCAAGTGTGATGCATTGATGAAATCAGCTCTTCAGGAAGAATCTAAAGATGCAATAAAATACAGGGTGTTTCATTTGAAATAACAAAGTTGCTAGTTGTTTCTGATAGAAGTGGCAACACTGTGTCGATGAAAATATTTTAGACGGATAGAGAATGTTCAATTATCAAAGCATCCCAATTTTCAGAATGTTCTGTCTTTTCGTTCTCCAGATACTTCTAATAGGCCATCCACCGTGGATCACCCTGTATATTGGGCGTTGTTGAAGTTAACATTTTCTTCTCGATTTTCTCACATTCAATGAAAATCTGTAAGTATGCAATAATATCATGTAAAAACATTTTGAATAGGCATACAAGGTGTGGTACATACATACATACATACATATTCCTGATATGTACTGTATGTGTCATTCAAAATCCTATGACATGCAATGCATGCAATCCAATCATCTAAGTGTACCTACCATATCATAGAGATAGGTATGATTCTCAGCAATAGTGAAATATAAGATTTCCATTGAAGAAATAAAAATGTAACTCTCAGCGCCTTATTCATGAGCTAATGTTCATGAAGAAATTAAGTAATTCATTGAAATCTACAGATTCCTGAAATATTTGTCATTGAAAATAACGAATGATCCTGTGTGTATAATTTAACGTTAAAATATTCAAATCTAGGACATTTGAATCCACCTTTTTATTGATTTTATTTTCCGAAAAAACAAAACTGTTTTGGATATTTCCTTTCTCTTCTGTCTGGAATCGAATATTTTTGGTTAGTTATTCTATAACTGACATACCTTTTGACATTTTGGACTTTTATTACTTTTTAACCTTGAAAATGTTGAAAATCTAAATATGTATAATTTATTGTTCTAAAGCTTGTTTGACAGCAGGCTTTGGCTACTGACAAAATTGTTTCTTTAACCATTGTTCCTGTTTGATATTCTTGGTGGGACATATAATATATTATAATGAAGAAAAAAAATCATATGCAAATATAAAAGATGATTTGAATTGAAAAAAAAAAAAGAATTTCATATGGAATATAAACATAAACAAAGCGTTCTATAAAAAAGCTTTAAAATCTGGTTTTATTTTTTTTACCTGCGTTTGAAGAAGAAGCATGCTTGGGGGGCTACTGGAGGCGGAAGGCTGCACTGTTCCCGCCGCCACTGGTAGACTCGATACCTCACTTTGAACTAGTAGTGTACCTGGAACAACAAAAAAAGCATTAATTATCATCCGGAAAATACAAAAAGTTATCTGCATTCATTCCAAACTAGTTGGTTGGCATCAAAAGGCTAGACACAAACTCAGATAAAATCTGCAGACCCGAACATAGTTTGGTATTTACAGGGTGGACCAAACTGAGGACAAAAACTTGCTAGTTGAAAGTTGAATATTGAAATTCTTACTAGGTATTTAAAAAAAAATACCATTTGTACAAAGATGTTCCTCATATTTATGAATAAAGAAACTGATTCACGCTGATTCAACTGTAGATTGATTTTGATACCATATAAGCTACACAGTGTTTCTAACATTTTTTTGTGTGGCATAACCTAGATGCATGAAAGTATTTTCAAGTTATGGATTGGATACCTAAGTTACTAGAGGAGACTCTTGGTCATTGAGTCAATTCATTGTAAACCATATTAGTTGTTGGTTTTCAATTAAGTATAATATGATTTCATATATGGCAGTAATTTCCCTAAATGCATCTCTAGGTATACACTAATGCATTCTAATTGAGCATGTCTAAGAAATGGATTGGCGTCTATACTGAAGCCAATTCCAAATTTATATGCTGAAATAAGTGAAATAGGTACTTATATAATATCCATTTATAAATTTTACACAGAGTGTATAACAAACAACAACAACACTGTAGGTACACAATGATTTTCTAGGATTTCCATTAATCTTTCAGTAATTTTTTGCTTCATTCGATTATATGTCAGAATTTCAGGTTTTGGACATAATTTTACTTTTCCCCCTTTTCAAGGACAAGCCACGATTTCCTAGAATTTTCCATAACTTTCTAATTCTACCGATTAATTTTTGACTTTCACTTTCAATGATTCTTGAAGAGCTCTTCACCAACCAAGTGATTGCTTCGATTTTCCATGATTTCATTTCATTGGATTGGGAAAATCAATGGTTTCCTAAGAGTAGCCACAATTTTCTAATAGGATTTTATTCAAGTATTTCTAATGATTTTTCAATATTTTTTTCACCTTCACCCTACTGAATGATTGCTAGGACTTTTCATGATAATTATTATAGTATCTATTTGGAGAAATTGATGTTTTCCTAGGACTAGCTATGATTCCCTAAGAGTTTCCTCACTTTCTGGGTCTATACTCATTGATTTTCCAGGATTTTCAAAAATTTCAGGATTCTTCACCCTATCCAATATGTTGGACTGGAAAACTTAATTGTTTCTTAGGATTTTCCGTAACTTTTTTATGATTGATTTCTAAGGATTTCCAATAATTTCTGAAAAATTATTTACCCTATTTCAAATGACTGTTAGTATTTTTCATGATCCTACTTCATTGGATTGGAAATATTAATGGTTCCCTAGCACTACCTACGATTCTCTAGGATTTTCCTTAAATCTATAGATCTACCATTGATTTTGTGGGATAATTTCTTAAGAACTCTTCACTTCCTCAAATGATTACTATATGATTTTTCACGATTTTATAATATTGAATTAGAAAAGTCAATGTTTTCCTAGGCAAGCTAAGATGTCCTAGGATTTTCTATGACTTTCTAGTTCTACGCATTGATTTTCTAGGATATTTCCAATAATTTTTCGAAAAACCTCACCCTACCAAATGATTAATAGGGTTTTTCATGGTTTCGTAGTATTTGATTGGAAAAAGACTGATTTCGTTGTACTACCGGGATTTGAATTGGGTTGAACAAGTTTCAGACATCAAATTAGGATAGCAAAAACTCACCAACATCGACGAACTCTCGAATCAATCAACAACAACGAATAATCACACAATTTTTCCCACCAACAAAATCCGATAATCTCCCGCCGAAATCCAAGGCGCCATTATCGCTCCCCGACGGTGCGAGCGTTTTTATAGCGTCGCGACGCTTCCAAGCACCGAAAATGAAGAGACTGTCTCTGGGGAGCGTGGCCGATGATTTTTGCAGCCAATATTTTCCATAACTTTCCAGTTATTCCCAGTGAAATTCGGTGATACAGTAATTTTTGAAGAACTCTTCTCCCTAACAAATATCTGCTAGAATTCACCATACTTTTATTTCATATACGATTCCCTAGAATTTTCTATGAAATTGTAGCATTGATTCTCCAGAACCCATACTGAATAGGATTATTAGGATTTTTCATGATTTCAGAAATGTATCGAAAATATTAATGATTTCCTAGGATTTTCAACAATCTTTGAAGCTATTACTATCCAAATATTGCTGAAATTTTTCATAATTTTGTAGTACCTATATTGGATTAGAAAAGTCGATGATTTTCAAGGCTTTTCAACAACTTTATTGTTCGACCCTTTGATTTTTTATGAATTTCAATATTTTTTCAGGTGCTCTCCACCCTTTCAAAGATTTCATTATATTGAATTGGAAAAATTAGTGTTTCCCTAGAATTTTCCTTGACTTTCTAGTGTTACCCATTGATTTTTTGGATTTCCGATAGTTCTTCAAGAACTATTTACCTTACTCAATGATTGCTAGGGTTTTTCATGATTTCATAATATTGGATTGTAAATGTCAATGTTTTTCTAGGACAAGCTACGATGTCCGAAGATATTCCATAACCAATAATTTTTTTGGATTTCCAATAATATTTGAAGAATTCTTCATCATATCAAATGATTATTGCTAGGATATTAAACGATGTTATAATATTGGATTGATAAAATTAATGATTTCGTTCCTTTCCAATAATTTGTGAAAAACTATTCACCTTCCAAATGGTTGCTACGATTTTTCATAATTTTGTAGTATTGGATTGGAAAAACTAATGATTTCCTAGGTCTTAATACAATTCCCTAAGATTTTCATTACTTTCTGGTTCTATTCATTGATTTTCTAGGAGTTTTCACGAAGGACTAGTTATGATTCCCTGAGATGCTCTCAACTTTCTATAATTGCTTCTATGGAATTTTCAATAAATTTTGAAGAACTCTTCACCCTGCTAGGATTTTCCATGGTTTCATATTGGATTCGAAAAACCAACCAACGATTTCCTAGAATTTTACCTAACTTCATAGGTCATATTTTCCATGATTCCATGGGATTATTCAAAGATCTTAGCAAAAATCCATGAAAACCCTATACCTTAGTTGAAACAGTTCCAAATATCAAATAAGGGTACCAAAAACTCACCAACATCGACGAACTCTCGAATCATTCGATAACAACGAACACTTTAAAACTTGTCAATTTTTCCACGAGTAATAAAAAAACCTTCCGATAATCTCCCGCCGAAATCCAAGGCGCCACTATCGCTCCCCGACGCTTCGAGCGCCTTTATAGCGTCGCGACGCTTCCGAGCACCGAAAATGAGGAGTTTGTCTCTGGGGAGCGTGGCCGATGATATTTGCAGCCCCAGGCAATCAGGGTGGCCTTTATGGGCCGTGACGGACGCTCATCCGCGTATACACTGCCAACATATTGTCAAGTCAATTTTGTTATCACTTAACTGTAACTGATTAGGTTTCTCATTGTATTGTTCGTCGTATGGTGTAGCCCTCGCGATGAATTTATTATTAGTTTTTTTTTTCGGTCGTTATGATGTGGGTTGTTGATACGGTATTACTTGTGATTGGATAAATCAATGTTTTCATAACACTACCTAGGTTCCCTATAGGATTTTTCTTGATTTTCTAGTTCTACCTATTTATTTTCTAGGATTTTCGATAATTTTTGAAGATATATTCACCCTACCAAATGATTGCTAGGATATTTCTTGATTTCAATTCATTGGATTGGAAAAGTTGATGGTTTCCTAGCACTACGTACGATTCCCTAGGATTTCCTAAACTGTTTAGTTCTACGCTTTGATTTTCTAGAATTTCCGATAATTATTGAAGAATCATTCACCCTACCAAATGATTGTTAGGATTTTTCCAAAATTGATGGTTTCCTAGCATGACTTAAGATTCCCCAGGACTTTCCTTAAATTTCTAGTTATATCCGTTGATTTCCTAGAATTTCCGATAATTTTTTAATGAATTCATCCTACCAAATGATTGCTAGGATTTTTCTTGATTTCATTTCATTGGATTGGAAAAATTGATGATTTCCTAGTACTACATACGCTTGCCTAAAATTTTCCCCGACTTTCTAGTTCTTCCCGTTGATTTTGTAGCACAACCTATACGATTCCCTAGGATTTCCCTTAACTTTCCATTTTAACCAATTCTTATTATAGGATTTCAGTTGATTTTTGTAGGACTATTCACCATACCAAATAATTGCTGAGATTTTTCATGATTTAATTTCATTGGATTGAACAAGTTGATTGTTTCCTAGCATTACATACGTTTCCCTAAGATTTTCATCATCTTTCTATTTTCTAGGATTCCAATAATTTTTGAAGATTTCTTCACTCTATCAAATGAGCGCTATGATTTTTCATGATTTCATAGTATCGATTTGGAAAAATTAATTATTTCCTAGGAATTGCTACGATTCCCTATAGGACTTTTCATATCTCTTGTTCTACACATTGATTTTCCAAGTTTTGCGATAATTTTTGATAAATTTCACCCTACCAAATGATTGCTAGGATTTTTTATGATTTCAGTTCATTGGATTGGAGACATTGTTGGTTTCCTAGCACTACATACGATTCCCTGAGATTTTCCTTAAATTTTTCACTTCTATCCGTTGATTTTTCATGATTTCCGATACAACCAAATGATTGCTAGGATATTTCATGATCTCATTATATTCATTTGGAAAAGGCTGTGATTTTCTAGAGCAACCTGTTTTACCCGTTCATTTTCTAGGATTTCTAATAATTATTCAATAACTCTTGACGCTGTTGAATGATTGCCAGGGTTTTTCATAATTTCATAATATTGGATCAGAAAAATGATTTTCTAGGGCAAGCCACGATCCCCTAGGATTTTTCTTGACTCTAGTACTTACTACCATTGATTTTCTAGGATTTCCAATAATTTTTTAAGAACTCTCAACGCTACCAAATTAT